TTAGATAAATGAAGAACAATTTTTCACTTGTAGCTTGAAGTTGTTGCTTATTCCTCACATCGTAAAGTCATTTATGAAAGTTAAACTTAACAAGGTGAATCTTCCTTTTTCATCGATCAATTTTTTCAAAATTCACATATATTTGGTAGGAAAGGGAAAAACAAAATTGTCAATTCCTAATGAAAACCACTTGATCTTACTTTGTATTATGTGTCACCAAGGTCATCCAGTTGGGCAACCCAGACAAACTTGTACAATGGGTGACCTCCCCGGGCGCCCGTATCTATTAACTGAGTTACCTCAATGATACTACTTCGCTGCCTAACCTCTGCGCTCTTGTCCTTATCTGAAGACGTTGATATCGACGTGGGCACCTAAGAGTAAATATTGGCATGCTTAAGGTAGCCAGACAAAGGCTACTAAACCTCGGCGATACCAGAAGGAGGATCATTTCTTTCAAATAAGGACAAGAGCGCAGAGGTTAGGCAGCGAAGTAGTATCATTGAGTTAACTCAGTTAATAGATACGGGCGCCCGGTGTCGGGCGGCCCAAGCCTTACGCCGCCCTTTAGTTCCTTTGAAAAGTCTATAGTTGACGGTCAGACTTCACACAGTGACCAGTTCCGACGGTTTTCACCTTGCGGACCGAGCGAACGGGAGACGATCGACTGATGAAGGAGAGACGACACGGGAGAAACCACGGTCAGACGAGACTATGGGAAAATATGGGCCTAGGAGGGTGATTTTTCTAAGACTCGGCGGTAGCCGGAGAATTTATTATTTCAGTAAGACCGGACAATTCTAACGCTGAATGGAGGTATGTGATCGGGCGACCGGAACTTGTCACCGCCGTCGAATTAAAATTACAGAGTGAAGGTATCTCAAGAGTTGCGTCAAGCCCGCCGGTGAACTGGGAAGCTACGACAGTGGGGAATTACCGCAGGGCCGAGAACGGAGGAAATCACTGCGCCAGCATCGACGGGGCCTTGACATTTGTCACCGGGCCCAAGACCAATGGGAGCCTTTGACTACAAATGGGCGCTCTGAAGGGAGGACCCCTATTTTTCTCAGTACCGGGCCCTGCGTTTTTTTCGACGGGGCTTTGTTAATTCTCACTTAGAAGGCCAAGGCAGGCAGGGATCAGGCTCGGAAGCAGGCCTGGTACCAAGGCGCTGCAAAAGGCCGGTACCCGACAAAAGGGCCCTCTTGACAAGTAACTTTTCGGGGCACCAAATAGGCCCGGCCCTAGGTTCGGGAGGAGGCTGGGTACCGGGGCCCTGCAAGTTTCTCGACAGCGCCCGACACTTGGGAGGTTGAGACCAGAACTGAGGCATGTGAAGTTGGGCCCAACAAAGTATATAAGCCCAACTGGGCCCAGATTGGGGACACTTCTCGGACGCACACAAGAAACGCAGACGGGGCTGGCACTCGAGTGCTAGCTCAAGGAGGGCTACATGTAGTGCCGGCACACAGGAGTGTGCGGGTGGTCCCTGGGGACACGAGCCCCCGACCTGGTGCATTCGAAATGTACCTGTTGTTGTGTACTCACCAGCGAACTGGTACAATAGTGCACGGTGGCCTACGCACGGCAGTGGGGGTAAGCTCCTCGATCTCGCTGGTAGAGGCGCACCGAAGGGGGATATTTACCTACCTAATCAGCACACGGAGACCAATCAGTCTTCCAATCACGGAAGTGGGGAGATATCCGGGACACGCGAGTAATGAAATGCACGAAGCGGCGGTGGATTACAGCGGTGGGATTACTTTTCCCGTTGATCTACAAACGGGACTGTGGTAAAATTGAATATGCACCAAATGCGACTGTTTCACTGACGAAACGATTTTTCCTCATTTCTCTCTTATTTTTCCTGGAAAGATCTCCAGCAAACCTATGGGACCTTAAAATTACAGACTCCAAAACGCATTCGTTGGGGCGAGAAAAATCGCACCAGGAAGAGTATTTTTCCCGTTGGCCTACGAACGGCACAGCGGTAAAACTGGAAGTATGCATCAAAACGGCGCGGCGACTGTTTCACTGATGAAACGATTTTTCCTAATTTTTCCCTTATTTTTCCTGGAAAGATCTTGAGCAAACCTACGGGAACTTAGATTTACAGACTCCAAAACGCATTCGTTGGGGCGAGAAAAATCGCAACAGGAAGAGTACTTTTCCCGTTGGCCTACGAACGGCACAGCGGTAAAACTGGAAGTATGCATCAAAACGGCGCGGCGACTGTTTCACTGACGAAAAGATTTTTCATAATTTTTCTCTTATTTTTCCTGGAAATATCTCGAGCAAACCTACGGGACCTTAAAATTACAGACTCCAAAACGCATTCGTTGGGGCGCGAAAAATCGCTAAAGGGAGAGTACTTTTCCCATTGGCCTACGAACGGCACAGCGGTAAAACTGGAAGATGCATCAAAACGGCGCGGCGACGGTTTCACTGTCGAAACTATTTGTCCTACTTTTTCTCTCATTTTTCCTGGAAAGATCACAGCCTAATCTACCGACCCTCGAAATTTCAGAACTGTTGGTGAATTCCTCTGAGTATGGAAAATCGCCAAGTCGCTGGTATCAAATCGCAGGGCTCGGCCTCCCAGACGCACCCTGCCAAGTTCTGGACCAGGATTCATCAGGCACTTCGATCTCAAGAGATACATGTGTGGAACACGGACGCAGGGATAGAACAAAGGAATACACACAGACAGGAGACACACAGTTGTGAGGGAATGCATGGAGCAAGGAGACAGAATACTGAAGGAAGGGAGATCCTTCTCCAGCGAGTCTCATTTCACATTCACTTGCTCCAAATAAATCTTTTTCACTACCTGGCCCGTGGAGATAGGAGTGAGTGGCATGGCATGGAGAGACTTTCAAGAGGGGAGAAAAGAGTAAGAAAAGCCAGGAAGGTAGTGAGCGGAGCGTTCCCCAACCGGGGTTTCCAACATTGCCATTATCAACGCATAAAATCTCAAAAATGCCATTGGATAATTCACGAACTCCATTAATACTTGGGTGCTGGAAGCCTGCCACGTGAGGGAAGTTTTCGCCATGGGAGGGGCGATTCCTCACTTCTAGAGGAAGGAGATGGTTGTCTGTTGTCTACTCTGTCAATACCACTGGTTTCATTATTTTCCCTATTTATTTATTCTACTTTAGTAATACGCAGTGGCTGGTAACAATTCTGGGTGGTCAAATAGTACACAGAGGCTATGAAAATCGTAATCAGTAAAATTGTGACTCCTGGTCTGAACCAACGGCCTAAACCAACAGTCCGGGTACAACAGTCCCCTGCGAGAGCACAGGAGGATCAGGAATTGGGCAATGAAACAAATTCGGCAGAAGCTTTGCAAAGAGCAGCGACAGAAATGCTGAGACAGCAAACTCAGAGACACCGTGGAGAAAACTCTGCAAATCCCGGTCTGCAAAGGCCAGCTTAACCCTCTTACAGGGACAAACCTGGGATCAAACTCGGGATTGGACTCAAGATCCTTTTCAAAGAACAGCCTCAGGAGCGAGAACCTGCAGACTATGGCAGGCAGCGGCGAAACTCAGACTCGGGGAACAGGGGATTGCAGATTCCAGAAATCAGGCTCTAGCCGCAGCAGCGGGACTCAGGTTTGAAGCTGCGGCTTTGGACTCAGACTTGAGACCACATAGGACCACTAAGTTCAGAACTTTGATCAGATTCAAGACAGATTGATACCAGACCTCAACAGACTAAGACCAGATAAAGATCGGACCAGAGACCAAAATTCAGAAAACCGCTCAGCGGTAGCGATCTCCGGGCGGCAAAGCCAAAGTGAACAGCCGCCGGTCTGCGAATCACGTGCCAGCCAAACGCGGATCAGCGGATGGGCGGACTCAAGGACTTAGCCTGCCGATCACGGTAAACTTGGGCCAGCAGGAATCGAACCAGCAAACAGATATCATCTGGGAACAGAAACAACAAGCACATGATTCAACCTCCTGGTCTCAGCGGGCTTGAGCCCAGTCAGCCGACACCGTCGCCTCAGGAAATGAACTCACCAAGATTCGTGGACTCAAGTTAGGGGTTGAGCTGAGACCTAGGCAGACTCAGATTCAGCGATAGTGGCAGCGGAGCTGCAACCAGCGGGCCTAGAATCTGCCAAGATCAGACCCCGAATCTGTTAGCAGATATCAATCACAGAAACAATTTGTGGAGGTCAGACCTCCGAGCCCTGATCCCTGAAGGCGGGCAACTGTTACTGACGCTGCAGGGTGAGGAGAGGGACTAAGGGTCTCGTTAGACACTCCTAAAAGTTCCTGTTTTTAGGATTGCGTCTTGGTTGCACGCAGTCCTAAATGGGACGCGGGAATCGAAAATGTGAAAACGGCGTTAGGACTCGTCCTAAAAGATTTAGGATTCCCCAGCCAAATCGTCCTAAATTTTCCAGTAGCCCCGGACCTACTGAAAAATTTAGGATTCCCGCATTTCACGGAGTCGTCGCGTCGTGAGAATGGCACCGTCGACACGGAGGAGCTGGTCCAGGAGAGGTCCATCGGGCCGGTGGGCGGACATCGGAGGTTTTCTGGCGGTCGATGACGGCAACGGCCCCCACTGGTAGCCGTTGGACAGTGGGGTGGAGCAGGCGGGGCGAAGCGTGGCCAGGCGGGCGGCCGTTGCAGACCGTTGGCTCGGGTGCAGGCAACGGAGGAGTTCCCAGACGTCTGCACGACGACACACGGAGGCGGCGTGGGCGCCAACGGTCAGTTTTTGAATCGGRGGCGCCAACRTTTGTCGTCTTCGCTGGCGGTCGACGGCATATGAAGGTCCAGCGGCCTTGTCCGCGGGCATGCAAGGAGAAAGTTCAGCAGGACGTCACGTGCAAGGTCGCCTGTCGACGTCGAATTCATGGCAGATTTGCAGAGGAGATTGCCTCTGCTGCTGCTGCTCGTGGTGGTCGTTTTCCTCTTTGTCGTCTTCCTCCACGTGTGCTTGTCGTGCCGGCCGTGGAAGCAACGTTGAAAGCGCAGGGCGTCGACGAAACGCGCTGTGCTTCAAGAGGAACGTCCCATGGCGGGCATGAAGGCACGCGCTATTCTGCCTGCAGCTGAGGGCGGAAGAAGACCTGCGACGACGGAGCCTTCACGGCGGTACGACCCGTCCATGTACAGCCATCTGCCGTCGTGGGAGACGCCGCTGCCTCCCTCGGACGAGGAGCCGGAGGGGGATGAACTTCCAACGTTTCCTCTYGCCAGCGGGTCSACGCAGCTGTTGTCGCAGACGGTGCTCGTAGGCGGGTCGGCGAGCAACGAACGAGGCRAGTACACGTCACTCCTGCAGCAAGGGTTGGGAGACGACGACGACGGGGGAGTTGATCTCCGGTTCGGCTTGAGTTCTGGCGGTGCCARGGAGGCGAGCMGCACGGTCATCAYCGCCGCCCATGCTTCCGCACGTGGCCTGCAGCAGCCTCGAAGGGAGCARACGGGACCTTCCACAGTACGTGGCGGCGCGTCCGTCGTTGGCGGTGTCGGGTCTTCGCCAGCAGCCCGGCAGCATGTATCGAGTGCGCCGTCCGGGGAACGATTGACGGATAACTGGGACGTGCGCACTGCTGCCGCAGCAGCGTCCCTGCGCACCAGCGGTGCACGCTCGTCAATGCTGAACCGAACAACACCCGCGCCACCCGAAGGGAGGGACGAGGGCGCCTGCAGACCACTGGCGGGTTCAAGAGCCAGTGTGGAGAACATCACTCGAGGCGTGTCGAACATGCGGGCACACAGCGATGTCGGCGACGACGATGGTTGTGGCGGTGACGATGCCGACGATGGATTCAGGGAGGAAGTCGAAGCGGGGGACGACGACGACGACAATGTTGTTCGGCCTGTGGGGAAGACGGGTGGTAGGGGTATTGGACGCAGCAACCGTGGTGGCCATGGTCAATCCGTTGGCCGTGGCGGCAGAGGTGGCGTCACCGACGACGGAGGGAAGTCTGCGACGTACTGGTCGACAGACGAGCAGATGCTCCTCGTCAGATGCAAGCGGGAGCAGGAGATGCACCTCGCTGGGCTGAACATATAAAAGCCAGGTAATCCCGCTGTAATCCAAGCAATCAAGCCTAAATTAAAATTATATTTCCAAGCATCAGCAATAATTTTATCTTTTGACCAAAAACAAGCAAAAGGAGGAACTCCACAAAGAGAAAGAGTGCCAATTAAGAAAGTCAACCTTGTTACTGGCATAGATTTACCAAGGCCTCCCATGAAGAGGCCACAATTACGGCCGGATGCGGACGAAGGAGTGGAAGTGGGTCGACATTGCGAAGCGCATGGCGAACGGTGGGAGCCCTAAAGACGCAGACGACTGCATGAAGAAATGGGACAATTTGTTCCAAAACTACAAGAAGATACAGAGGTTTCAGAACGCGAGCGGGCGACCAGATTTCTTCAAGTTGTCCAACGACGAAAGGAAGGAGCACAACTTCAAGTTCCGGATGGAGAGGGTGCTGTACAACGAGATCCACTCCGGCATGTTGGGGAACCATACTATTTTCCCTCCCAACATCGCCGACACCGGCAGTCCGGACGGGGTGCAGCTGCCCTGGAGAGGAGCGGGTGGTGGGGAGTCTGTTGATAGTGAGGGCGGTGGTGACGGTTGCGCTTAAGAAAGATCTTCTACAAGGGACTCCGACGTGAACGCTTGCAGTGTTGCCGGAGGCGGGAAGCGTACGAATGCGCGCCAACAGGCGCTGGAGTCCATCGCTGATGTCATGGACCGCAATGGCGAACTGATGTCGTCGATGATTGAATCGTCCAGCAAACGGCAATGCAACATTTCATCGAGGCAATGCGACATACAAGAACAGCAGTGCGACATACTCGCGCAGGAAGTAGCGGTCCAAAACGCGCACTATGCGGCGTCCGACGATACGCAGAGGATGATGTGTCACGCACTTTAAGAGATCGTTGCCGCCATCCGTGGTCGTTCGACGATGTAGCCCATCAAATCGTTTCTTGATTACGTTGCTGCCATTGCGGTCGGTGTAGCCATGAAGATTGTTTTTTTGTTTTGTTATTTAATTTTTTTCTATATGTCGGTTTCTTCTGCGTAAGATGATGGAGGCAGACTGCACGATATGATTCTGCTTGCGAAATGGTTGCCACAGATGAGGGGAGCCGTCTGCGCTGGATTTGCCGCATTTCGTGGTGTCAATCGTTGTATTGATGAAAAAGTGTGTGTGTGTGTGTGTGTGTGTGTGTGTGTGTGTGTGTGTGTGTGTGTGTGT